CGGCCCACTTGGGAATAGATTTTCCTCCATGTGGCCCCTGAGCTAAAATGAGTTTGACACCCCTGCTCTAGGACATCAAAAACCAACCCTGACTCTCACTGAAACATCAGCCTCACCACCTCCCTGTTGTCTGCATCATCCAGATCCCTGAGGAGGAATTCCTGAATGAACAGATGCACACACAGCCTATTATCAGTAAGACAGAATGTGATATTTCTCTCCACACCCCACTAAAGGTATTTCTCATACAGTGGGGAAAAAAGGTATTTAGTCAAAATCAAAAATCAAATAAAATACAATTTTATTGGTCACATGCGCCGAATACAACAGGTGCAGACATTACAGTGAAATGCTTACTTACAGCCCTTAACCAACAGTGCATTTATTTTTAACAAAAAAAAGTACAAATAAAACAACAACAAAAAAAGTGTTGAGAAAAAAAAGAGCAGAAGTAAAATAAAGTAACAGTAGGGAGGCTATATATACAGGGGGGTACCGTTGCAGAGTCAATGTGCGGGGGCACCGGCTAGTTGAGGTAGTTGAGGTAATATGTACATGTGGGTAGAGTTAAAGTGACTATGCATAAATAATTAACAGAGTAGCAGCAGCGTAAAAAGGATGGGGTGGGGGGGGCAGTGCAAATAGTCCGGGTAGCCATGATTAGCTGTTCAGGAGTCTTATGGCTTGGGGGTAGAAGCTGTTGAGAAGTCTTTTGGACCTAGACTTGGCACTCCGGTACCACTTGCCGTGCGGTAGCAGAGAGAACAGTCTATGACTAGAGTGGCTGGAGTCTTTGACAATTTTGAGGGCCTTCCTCTGACACCGCCTGGTATAGAGGTCCTGGATGGCAGGAAGCTTGGCCCCAGTGATGTACTGGGCCGTACGCACTACCCTCTGTAGTGCCTTGCGGTCGGAGGCCAAGCAGTTGGCATACCAGGCGGTGATGCAACCAGTCAGGATGCTCTCGATGGTGCAGCTGTAGAATTTTTTGAGGATCTGAGGACCCATGCCAAATCTTTTCAGTCTCCTGAGGGGGAATAGGCTTTGTCGTGCCCTCTTCACGACTGTCTTGGTGTGTTTGGACCATGATAGTTTGTTGGTGATGTGGACACCAAGGAACTTGAAGCTCTCAACCTGTTCCACTACAGCCCCGTCGATGAGAATGGGGGCGTGCTCAGTCCTCTTTTTTTTCCTGTAGTCCACAATCATCTCCTTTGTCTTGGTCACGTTGAGGGAGAGGTTGTTGTCCTGGCACCACACGGCCAGGCCTCTGACCTCCTCCCTATAGGCTGTCTCATCGTTATCGGTGATCAGGCCTACCACTGTTGTGTCGTCGGCAAACTTAATGATGGTGTTGGAGTCGTGCCTGGCCATGCAGTCATGGGTGAACAGAGAGTACAGGAGGGGACTGAGCACGCACCCCTGAGGGGCCCCCGTGTTGAGGATCAGTGTGGCAGATGTGTTGTTACCTACCCTTACCACCTGGGGGCGGCCCGTCAGGAAGTCCAGGATCCAGTTGCAGAGGGAGGTGTTTAGTCCCAGGATCCTTAGCTTAGTGATGAGCTTAGAGGGCACTATGGTGTTAAATGCTGAGCTGTAGTCAATGAATAGCATTCTCACGTAGGTGTTCCTCTTGTCCAGGTGGGAAAGGGCAGTGTGGAGTGCAATATAGATTGCATCATCTGTGGATCTGTTGGGGTAGTATGCAAATTGGAGTGGGTCTAGGGTTTCTGGGATAATGCTGTTGATGTGAGCCATGCCTTTCAAACCAGCCTTTCAAAGCACTTCATGGCTACAGACGTCAGTGCTACGGGTCGGTAGTCATTTAGGCAGGTTATCTTAGAGTCCTTGGGCACGGGGACTATGGTGGTCTGCTTGAAACATGTTGGTATTACAGACTCAGTCAGGGACATGTTGAAAATGTCAGTGAAGACACTTGCCAGTTGGTCAGCACATGGCAAGTGTCTTCACTGACATTTTCAACATGTCCCTGACTGAGTCTGCCACCAATTGTGCAAGTTCTCCCACTTAAAAAGATGAGAGAGGCCTGTAATTTTCATCATAGGTACACGTCAACTATGACAGACAAAATGGAAAAAATAATCCCGAAAATCACATTGTAGGATTTTTAATGAATTTATTTGCAAATTATGGTGGAAAATAAGTATTTGGTCAATAACAAAAGTTTCTCAATACTTTGTTATATACCCTTTGTTGGCAATGACACAGGTCAAACGTTTTCTGTAAGTCTTCACAAGGTTTTCACACACTGTTGCTGGTATTTTGGCCCATTCCTCCATGCAGATCTCCTCTAGAGCAGTGATGTTTTGGGGCTGTCGCTGGGAAACACGGACTTTCAACTCCCTCCAAAGATTTTCTATGGGGTTGAGATCTGGAGACTGGCTTGGCCACTCCAGGACCTTGAAATGCTTCTTACGAAGCCACTCCTTCGTTGCCCGGGCGGTGTGTTTGGGATCATTGTCATGCTGAAAGACCCAGCCACGTTTCATCTTCAATGCCCTTGCTGATGGAAGGAGGTTTTCACTCAAAATCTCACGATACATGGCCCCATTCATTCTTTCCTTTACACGGATCAGTCGTCCTGGTCCCTTTGCAGAAAAACAGCCCCAAAGCATGATGTTTCCACCCCCATGCTTCACAGTAGGTATGGTGTTCTTTGGATGCAACTCAGCATTCTTTGTCCTCCAAACACGACGAGTTGAGTTTTTACCAAAAAGTTCTATTTTGGTTTCATCTGACCATATGACATTCTCCCAATCCTCTTCTGGATCATCCAAATGCACTCTAGCAAACTTCAGACGGGCCTGGACATGTACTGGCTTAAGCAGGGGGACACGTCTGGCAAAAAAATCTCAATTTGTCTGTCATAGTTGACGTGTACCTATGATGAAAATTACAGGCCTCTCTCATCTTTTAAGTGGGAGAACTTGCACAATTGGTGGCTGACTAAATACTTTTTTCCCCCACTGTATGTCTGGTCAAAGTCTACGATTCATTCAAAGCCAATTCAAACACTAATTTCTATTGCAAATTGATCAAACTAGATCATGTTTCTATTAAACGTAGTATGTGTGGAGAAATACCAAAAACTAAAATATATTCAGCCACCAATTATTCTGTTCATACATGAACTATTCAAGAAAGAATACTTACTTTTTGTTAATATAATATTTTTTCAACATAATACAAACCTGTGTGGCAGCCATTCTATCACCTCGGAGAGCAAAAAGCCTCTCCTCATCCTCATTTCTCATTCTGCCCCTGGCTCTCCCTCTGCCCCTGGCTCTGCCTGTCCATCCTCTGCCCCTGGCTCTCCCTCTGCCCCTGCCTCTGCCTGTCCGTCCTCTGCCCCTTGCTCTCCCTCTGCCCCTGGCTCTCCCTCTGCCCCTGGCTCTGCCTGTCCGTCCTCTGCCCCTGGCTCTCCCTCCCCCTGGCTCTGCCTGTCCGTCCTCTGCCCCTGGCTCTCCCTCTATCCCTGCCTCTTGCTCTGCTAGTCTGACTCCCATCAACATTGTCCAACGCAACCTGCGCATACCATGAATGATGTAAGCTAGATGTTAGATGTCCTGCTATGTGAAATATTTTCTTACATACATTGGCTATTACAAAACAATTTGACAAGGTTGAAACTATTGCATCTAGCTAGAGCTGCAATAGTGTCAAACTAATTTTGGTTTAGCAAACGTTAGCAAGGCTAGCAAGGGAACCGACAGAACACATTACAGAAAGTTGACAGATTGAAGTACAACGTCGCCATATGGTATTACAATACAAATACATATTGGAGTTTAACGTTATTTCACCTCATCACTCAACATTCTTTGTGTCCAGTGGTTCGCTAGTAGACTGCTGCTGTAGCCGTATGAAATGGCTGGCTGGCTAGCTAGTTAGCTATGCCTATGTAAACAAATCCACACGTTTTAGAACAAAAGGGAGAGAGTGTGCAAAGGGGGAGTGACTCTAGGCTTGTTGAGAAAGGGGGAGGGGGGAAGAGTTGTTTGAAAATAGCCTAACTGTTGTAATTCGCCAAGCTTCCACAATGTGGGAGAAAAATAGGTATATCACCTTTAAGTAGAATCTTCAACTTAATTTTTAACTGAGGCAACACTTAAAACACCTCATCAAAAGATACAGCCCTGAGCCCTGTGTCTGGATGACAAATCAAGAGGTTACTGTTCAGTCAGTGAACATTTTCACTTTGAGATAGAAAATAAATAATCTTGTCCACCAACTGGCTTGGTAGCAATTGAGCCTGTGAAAGAAGTTAGAGAAGGAGTAACCTGAACGATAGCATGGAATCTGAAAAAAACATTAAAGACTTTAAAAACTCTTGCCTCTCTCCACTAATCCAGAGTGTGTGACAAGAACATGTATAATGACACATTGCTGGTTAATCATACTCCAGGGAGCCCAGTCCATGTGATATCAAGTATGATTTTTAAGGTACAACTGAGCCTACAGTATATCAGCATTTCTACTCTAAGACACATTATGAATACATCCCCAGTGATCAAGAATGTGTAAGGAGGCCTGAACTAAGAGTTAATTATGCTCAAGTGTTGGAAGCAACTTGTCCGTGAAAAATGTATGTTTTACTTCAGTGGTTTATGAGAGCAGAGCACAAGGGCCATGATTTCTCTCTGACGAATCATTGGAGTAATAAACCAAGTATGAGTGGCTGGGTTGGTGCCTGAGACATTTTATGGACCAGGGCCCGGTTTCCCAAAAGCATCAGAAGGCTAAGTTCATCGTTAGAAGCATCATTAACTTAGTTATTTCCCAAAACCATTGTTACTAAAGTTGCTCTTGAAACCGCTTGTTATTTAACCGGGCCCAGGTCTGTTTGACTTGGCTGCACCTGAATCTACCAAATTATCCCTGTTATCGTTCTACTCTCTGACCCTCTTTATCTCTCATTCAATCTACATATCTCTGAATTTGTCTCTTTTGTCCTTGTCTCTCTCTGTTCACCAACAGTTTTCCAGCTGAACCCCAGCCTGACCGGTGTGATCCCGGAGAGCGGCCTCCTCATTTGCATCGGTTGGGTCCTGGGGGGCATCATCTGTGGGGCAAACAAGGCGCAGACCTTCAGGCTGCAGCCCTTCACCTTCTTCTTCTACCTGCTGCCCCAGATCATCCTGGACGCGGGCTACTCCATGCCCAACAAGCTGTTTTTCAGCAACTTGGGCACCATCCTGGTTTACGCTGTTATTGGCACCTGCTGGAACGCTGCCACTTTGGGACTCGCCCTTTGGGGGTGCTGGTTGGGCGGGGCAATGGGTAAGGCGGCCAATGTGTGTGTCCCAAATAGCACCCTATTTCCTATTCTAGTGCACTACTTTTGACCAGGGGGCCGTAGAGCAGATCAACATAAAATATGGGTTCTATAGTTTTCCGATGATTGAAACTGGCATTTGTGAGGTCGTCAATCAGAGTACATGTGTAAGGTAGATGAAAGGTCTGAGATCATAATACCTTTTACCCTGGGCCTCTGTAGGCGATATCGACATTGGCCTCCTGCAGTTGCTGCTGTTTGGGAGTCTGATTGCTGCTGTGGACCCCGTGGCTGTGATTGCCGTGTTTGAGGAGGTCCATGTCAACGAGGTCCTGTACATTCTGGTGTTTGGGGAGTCCCTTCTCAACGACGGCGTCACAGTGGTCAGTCTGACTAACTTCATTATCCTCATTTATCATTATTAGGCTGCGTCCCAAATTGAACCCTTTTCCCTATGTCAGCATACTGACCAAGAACGGTGTCAATATGGAACGGGGGCCTACATATATATATATATATATTTTTGAACTCAGTAGGGCTTTCAACTTACTCTTCTTGAAAGTTGTAATAGTAGAATACACAAGCTGCAATTTTGTAATTTCGCTGCGCTTCAGCAGTTTTACTCTGTCATTGCTGACCTTAAAGAGCTATTTATGACAGTTGATCAACTAGCCCATATCAGCTAACATTTTTTAGCTAGGTTTTTCAGCCCACTGATTTTGTTGTAACGTTTGAGTCGCTCAGATATCACATGAACACACATAAGACATGCCAAAATGTGTACAATTGAAGGAAATTAGCTTTAGAACTGCAAAATGTTCTCTCCACCCCATGGAAAAATTTATAGAATTGCAGGAAATGAGCTTTAAAACTGCAAAATGTTTCTTCCACCCAATGGCAAAATTAGAAGTTGGGGTTTGTTACTACGCTGATAATGACAATATCCATCCGGACCTTAGCCGTCCTAGGAGATTTGTGTGATTGGACCTTCTCAAATAGTATTTGAATACCCCTGTCCTACTGTATATAGTGCACTACTTTTGGTCAGGGCCCATAGGCACTTTTGATCAGGTTCCCTTCAGTTGGTAGCCTACAGTTCATATAATTTCATTCCATTTGCTAAATCTGTAAACGCTGTCACATCCGTGTTGTTGTTGCTGAGGATCACTAGTAATAGTTGATCATATTTCATGTAAAACATATTTTACATGTAGGCTAATTAAATCATTATCGAGTGCAGACCAAGCCGTAACAGTTTGAACCTGAGGCATGGCGCAATACTTAGCCGTGCAATCCCACTGAGCACACCACGTCATTTCAACGTGGACATTTGGGTAATATTTGGTTGAGATGTTGACCAATGAGATTTAAACCTTTATTCACCCACTCCAAAATACATTTGTTGAATTCCTAATGTGCACAACCAAATTCCAATTGATAAACTGTCCGATTTTTGGTTTAGTTATCATCTAAATGTGTCATCACTGCGCTTTCAACCATTTAAAAGCACAACAAAGTTTAAATGGGAATACAATGTCCGAATAGTTTTTATTTATACAACAACTGAATGTATTATCACTGTGCTTCATCTAGAAATGCAACCAAATGACCTGGATTGCAGTTGAGATTACAGTGCATTCGGAAAGTGCATTCGGAAAGTATTTTTCCACATTTTGTTACGTTACAGCCTTATTCTAAAATGTATTAAATAAATAAAAATCCTCAGCAATCAACACACAATACCCCATAATGACAAAGTGAACAGGTTTAATTGTTTTGTGCAAATGATTTACAAATAAAAAAAACTATTCAAACCCTTTGCTATGAGACTCGAAATTGAGCTCAGGTGCATCCTGTTTCTATTGATCATCCTTGAGATGTTTCTACAAATTGATTGGAGTCCACCTGTAGTCAATTCAATTGATTGGACATGATTTGGAAAGGCACACACCTGTCTATATAAACCTGTTTTTGCTTTGTCATTATGGGGTATTGTGGATCAATTTTAGAATAAGGCTGTAACCTAACAAAATGTGGGAAAAAGTCAAGGGGTCTGAATACTTTCCGAATGCACTGTACATTAGAAGTACATAGTGCAAGTGATCAATGCTGTTTGAGATTCTGCTCAGATTATTATAGCAATTGTGAAGATCAATACAGACCTGCAACCTTTTCATGCTATCTTGAACATTAATGCTTTCTATGATAACATAAGAAGACATTTAGTTAAAGTAACTTCAATGTGACCATGGATATGTTACTCATTTTAAGGTTGAATAAATACTGTTACATTAGTTCGTAAGATAGGCTATTTACTGTATTACAAAAGTAATATTGAATGGTGTTTGGTTAACAACACAACCAAATATTAAAATCTAAAGGAGATGTCTCTAATGCTTGTATAATTTGAGATGGAGACGTGAATCCAACATATCAATTATTAATTTGTAGACAAACTGGAATTAAAGCCAGGCTAAGTCAGTGGCACAGAAGATACATCTCCTTCAAATGTGTGGACAACCAAACAAAATTCAATTTCACTTTTGCAATACAGTAAATAGCTTATTAAGTTGGCGACAAGTTAACAAAGAATATGTTGGATTTACGACTCCAACTAAACCAAAAATAAAAGTTAAAGAATAGGATTAAGACATCTCCTTCAAATGTTGATATTTGGTTGCTTTGACAATCAAAAACAATTCAATAATCCAGTTTGTCTACAAATTAATAAATTATATGTAGGATTCACATCTCCATCTCAACCAAAAATCGAAGTTAAAGAATAGCACTAAATCAAATCAAACTTTAAATGAAATTAGTCCTATTATTTAACTTAGATTTATTTTTATTGAGATGGAGACGTGAATACAACATTAATGATTAACCTGTAGATTAAACTTGAAAACAACCAAAGCTTGAAACCCTAGGCTTGTATGTATTGTCTATTTTTGGTTGAATACTGGGTTGAAATAGTATCATTTTTATTTATTATGGATCCCCATTTCTTGGGATCCAGCAAAATTAAGGCAGTTATACAATTTAAAAAACAGTACATTACAATACATTCATAACAGATTTCACAATACACTGTGTGCCCTCAGGCCCCTACTCCACTACCACATATCTACAACACAAAATCCATGTGTATAGTGCGTATGTTATCATGTTTGTGTCTGCGCATATGTTTGTGTTGCTTCACAGTCCCCGCTGTTCCATAAGGTGTATTTTTATCTGTTTTTTTTTTCAATCTAATTTTATTGCTTGCATCAGTTACTTGATGTGGAAGAGTTCCATATAGTCATGGCTCTTTGTAGTACTGTGCGCCTCCCATAGTCTGTTCTGGACTTGGACTGTGAAGAGACCTCTGGTGGCATGTCTTGTGGGGTATGCATGGGTGTCCGAGCTGTGTGCCAGTAGTTCAAACAGATAGCTCGTAGTGATGAAGTCAATCTCTCCTCCACTTTGAGCTGCAGAGATTGACATGCATATTATTAATGTTAGCTCTCTGTGTAGATCCAAGGGCCAGCAGTGCTGCCCTCTTCTGAGCCAATTGCAATTTTCCTAAGTCACTCTTTGTGGCACCTGACCACACGACAGAACAGTAGTCCAGGTGCCTGTAGGACCTGCCTTGTTGATAGTGCTGTTAAGAAGATAGAGCAGCGCTTTATTATGGACCGACTAATCCCCATCTTAGCTACTGTTGTATCAATATGTTTTGACCTTGACAGTTTAAAATCCAAGGTTACTCCAAGCAGGTTAGTCACCTCAACTTGCTCAATTTCCACATTATTTATTACAATATTTAGTTGAGGTTTAGGGTTTAGTGAATGATTTGTCCCAAATACAATGCTTTTGGTTTTAGAAATATTTAGGACTAACTTATTCCTTGTCACCCATTCTGAAACTAACTCCAGTTCTTTATTAAGTGTTGCAGTCATTTTAGTCGCTGTAGTAGCTGATGTGTAAAGTGTTGAGTCATCCGCATACATAGACACAATGGCTTTACTCAAAGCCAGTGGCATGTCATTAGTAAAGATTGAAAAAAGTAAGGGGCCTAGACTGCTGCCTTGGGGAATTCCTGATTCTACCTGGATTATGTTGGAGAGACTTTCATTAAAGAACACCCTCTGTGTTCTGTTTGACAGGTAACTCTTTATCCACAATATAGCAGGGGGTGTAAAGCCATAACACATCGTTTTTCCAGCAGCAGACCATGATCGATAATGTCAAAAGCCACACTGAAGTCTAACAAAACAGCCCCCACAATCTTTTTATCATCAATTCTACAAGGTGGACTCTACAATGTGTCAAAAGCGTTCCCTTTGGGTGGTGGACCATTCTTGATACACACAGAAACGGTTGAGCATGAAAAACACAGCAGCGTTGCAGTTCTTGACACACTCAAACCGGTGCGCCTGGCACCTACACTCTTAGAAAAAAGGTGCTATCTAGAACCTAAAATGGTTATTTGGCTGTCCCCAAAGGAGAACCCTTTGGAGAACCATTTTTGGTTCCAGGTATAACCCATATATAGAACCCTTTTGGGTTCCATGTAGAACCCGTTTCACAGCGGGTTCTACATGGAACTCAAAAGGGTTCTACCTTTTATAAGAGTGTACTACCATACCCTGTTTAAAGGCACTTAAATATTTTGTCTTATCCATTCAGCCTCTGAATGGCACACATTCACAATCCATGTCTCAATTGTCTAAAGGCTTAAAAATCCTTCTTTAACCTGTCTCCCCTTCATCTACACTGATTGAAGTGGATTTAACAAGTGACCTCAATGGAAAGAGCAAGTGTTCCTAATGTTTTGTACACTCAGTGTATAAAGTATGGTTACATTTTTTTTTTTTTTTTTTTTCATTTGAAGGAGTTGCCATGGCGCCCTGGTAGCAACCTAGACAGAGCTCTTGTAATGTGTACATATTTAGTTATTTTAAAGTGTTTTTATCCATTGTTTTGGAACCAACATTTTAATTTTTGATAAGCATATACTGTATATGGTGGTTTTGAGCCACGGATTTGCAGATTGACTGACAGGTCAACTCTTTTTGTCTTAGCTGGCTAATGTTTTTGTTTGAAAAATGCATCTGGACACAGTACCAGCTTTTTTATTTCACTTGGCTGCCAGTTTCTGATCTTTTGAGAACATCGTGAGAGAAATGGGAGATGGAGGAATACAGTGCTGAGGCAGAGGGCTCGTAGAGAGGATACTTTCTACTATTCTGAACTTTGTGTGGTGAGCTTTCTGGTGCCCAGAGCTGCCGAGGCATCACCCAAGTGGGTGCTTCACAGAGTGGAAAAGGTCAAGTCCAGTGGCTATATGACTCAGGCTGGTACCCAGACTTGCCCAATGCAAGTTCACCAGCAGACTCCATCACCATCATTTACCATCCTCTGACCAGCTCCCTCCGCTCAAGCCATGAACTGACCCTCTCCATCAGCAGAGGATGCAGCATTGAAATACTTGGCCTCTATTGGTTGACCTGACCTGTCATGATACAGTGGGCATAAAAAGTATTTAGTCAGCCACCAATTGTGCAAGTTCTCCCACTTAAAAAGATGAGAGAGGCCTGTAATTTTCATCATAGGTACACGTCAACTATGACAGACAAAATAAGAAAAAAAATCCTGAAAATCACATTGTAGGATTTTTTATGAATTTATTTGCAAATTATGGTGGAAAATAAGTATTTGGTCAATAACAAAAGTTTCTCAATACTTTGTTATATACCCTTTGTTGGCAATGACACAGGTCAAACGTTTTCTGTAAGTCTTCACAAGGTTTTCACACACTGTTGCTGGTATTTTGGCCCATTCCTCCATGCAGATCTCCTCTAGAGCAGTGATGTTTTGGGGCTGTCGCTGGGCAACACGGACTTTCAACTCCCTCCAAAGATTTTCTATGGGGTTGAGATCTGGAGACTGGCTAGGCCACTCCAGGACCTTGAAATGCTTCTTACGAAGCCACTCCTTCGTTGCCCGGGAGGTGTGTTTGGGATCATTGTCATGCTGAAAGACCCATCCAGGTTTCATCTTCAATGCCCTTGCTGATGGAAGGAGGTTTTCACTCAAAATCTCACGATACATGGCCCCATTCATTCTTTCCTTTACACGGATCAGTCGTCCTGGTCCCTTTGCAGAAAAACAGCCCCAAAGCATGATGTTTCCACCCCCATGCTTCACAGTAGGTATGGTGTTCTTTGGATGCAACTCAGCATTCTTTGTCCTCCAAACACGACGAGTTGAGTTTTTACCAAAAAGTTCTATTTTGGTTTCATCTGACCATATGACATTCTCCCAATCCTCTTCTGGATCATCCAAATGCACTCTAGCAAACTTCAGACGGGCCTGGACATGTAATGGCTTAAGCAGGGGGACACGTCTGGCACTGCAGGATTTGAGTCCCTGGCGGCGTAGTGTGTTACTGATGGTAGGCGTTGTTACTTTGGTCCCAGCTCTCTGCAGGTCATTCACTAGGTCCCCCCGTGTGGTTCTGGGATTTTTGCTCACCGTTCTTGTGATCATTTTGACCCTACGGGGTGAGATCTTGCATGGAGCCCCAGATCGAGGGAGATTATCAGTGGTCTTGTATGTCTTCCATTTCCTAATAATTGCTCCCACAGTTGATTTCTTCAAACCAAGCTGCTTGCCTATTGCAGATTCAGTCTTCCCAGCCTGGTGCAGGTCTGCAATTTTGTTTCTGGTGTCCTTTGACAGCTCTTTGGTCTTGGCCATAGTGGAGTTTGGAGTGTGACTGTTTGAGGTTGTGGACAGGTGTATTTTATACTGATAACAAGTTCAAACAGGTGCCATTAATACAGGTAACAAGTGGAGGACAGAGGAGCCTCTTAAAGAAGAAGTTACAGGTCTGTGAGAGCCAGAAATATTGCTTGTTTGTAGGTGACCAAATACTTATTTTCCACCATAATTTGCAAATAAATTCATTAAAAATCCTACAATGTGATTTTCTGGATTTTTTTTCTCAATTTGTCTGTCATAGTTGACGTGTACCTATGATGAAAATTACAGGCCTCTCTCATCTTTTTAAGAGGGAGAACTTGCACAATTGGTGGCTGACTAAATACTTTTTTTGCCCACTGTATGATGCTTGTAAGTTTGTTCTTTGCTTATGCGCTTTGAGATTTCTATTATGAAAAGCGCTATAGAAGTTACATTTATTATTATTTGCTCTGTTAAACCCACCCTTTTGGAATGACTTTGATAGCAACAGTGAATCTATTTAGTTATTAAGTGGAGACCTCTCAATAATCATTCTCACAATAGCACATTGGTAGTAGTCAGTGACAAATATCAAAGCTAAGCAGGGCAGGGCTAGGTTAAAACCCTGGGTGGTAGACCATAGGAATAGCTGTAGATACATCCAGTTGGAGGTGCTGCCCAGCATATTTTTTCTGATAGTGGATATTACGTCGAAGATCTGACGTTGTTAAAAAGGTACAAATTTAACATTTTATACATGGTTTGTCTATGTTGAATGATGAAACAGTACTGGTTGACTTTTTGCAAATCCAAATGTGTTTTACACGTAGATTCTACGTCACAATACGTGTGGCAAATTACATTGAAACAATGTTGATTCAACCATTTTGTGCCCAGTGGGATCACACAGTTCCATGGTCAGGGCAACCAATAGGCCAGGGTATACTATTGTACACTATTCTCCCTATTATAATTCTATGTACGCTAATCTTCCAACATTACCATTGGTTGAATACCTGAATGTGGCAATTTTTCAAATGAATTAAAAGTTTTTTTATTTTGTGTGTAAATGCGCTCTAACCATATTTTTCCATGTGCAGCCTAGGGTTCATAAAACTTTAAATCTATGCATGGATTCTGAAACTAAAGATAAATATGTTTTGATGGCTATCTTTCATTGATCTCCATTATGAACGCCTTCTTCATAGGCTACATTCTAATGTTGTGCAGATCAAATTCTGTATTTAAAGGGATTGCTTTAGAAAAATTAACCAAAAATAAAACACCCTGATCAAATTGGTAGGCTACCCAGTGGGTGTATTTTCTGGGATTTAATTAATTATATTAATTGTGCTCCACGGACCCACACGCAAATCTTGTTGCGCACGTGCATAGGGTAAGTCTGAATACGCCCTTTGTATGGAATAGGGTGCCAGCCTTAATGTTTACACAACAATTTTTTGGCAGAAACATTTACTTCACTTTTCATAATGTGTTAAATAAGAAGTAAGTTGAGTTCCAAATTTAATGATATTCATCATTGGAAACCTAAACCCGACAAATTAAGTACTAAGGCAATACACAAGACAAGGCACCTTGACTGAACTGCACCAGTCAGTCACATGATTTACTTCTGGGAATGCTGTCTGTTTGTAGGTCTACATAACAACATCAATCACATACAAATAGACCAAGAATAAAATTGTAATCTAATGGATTACATTACACAATTGATTAAATGTATTGTAACACATTAAATAACGTTATATTCAATGGATTTGGTTGCTTAACCTCCCCACCTCCTCAGTGACCAGGCATCTTTATTTTCATGTTCCCTCAGGTGCTGTTCAATGTGTTTAATGCATTTGTGTCGCTTGGAGGGGCAAAAATCGACGCTGTAGAGATCATCAAAGGCATAAGTACGTAAGAGCACCACACCTTGGCTACGTCCCAAATGGCACCCTATTCCTTATATAGTTCACTTATTTTGACTATGGCCCATATGGCTCTCGTAAAAAGTACTGCATTATGTAGGGAATAGGGTGCCATTTGGGACGCAGTGTTTGATTCTCAGGCCAACAAATAGTGCCCTGTCACGTAGTCAACAGGGACAGCTTGAAGCAAACTGCTAGGGTAATGCAACAAGCAATATAGTATGTAATCTGTCTAACCCAGGGGTAGGCAACCCTGGTCCTGGAGAGCTGTTTTTGATTTAACCAACCTGAAAGACCAGGTATGTTGAATTTAGGCAGTCACTGAACTGATCAATTAGCTCAGTTGGTCAGGTGGGGTGCCTAGTTGGGACAAAATCCTGCGGCTCTCCAGGAACAGGTTGTATGTATTGTATTTATTCATGAAATAATGAATATCTTTGTTCCCTGTTTGCCTCTCCATATGTCATTCTGTCTCGCTTTTTCTTCCCCTCTCTTTCACCCTCCTTCCCTTTTCTCTCTCTTATCACCCTCCTCTCTCTTCCTCCTCTGCCCTGTGCAGTCTCGTTCTTCGTGGTGGCACTCGGAGGCTCCCTGGTTGGTGTTATCTTTGGTCTGCTGATCTCGCTCCTGACCAGATGCACCAAAAACATCCAGATTATCGAGCCAGGCTTCATCTTCGTCCTGGGCTACCTCTCTTACCTCACAGCCGAGATGCTCTCGCTATCCGCTATCCTGTCGTAAGTCCTTCTGAGTGTTATGTTGATTTATTAGGACTTTTACAACCTTTCCATTAAGGGGTATTCCACTGAAAACCTAACATGATATTTCCACTTACCTTGGCTTAGTTTTTAGATACAGTATGTATTTCAGTTACATAACTCATTTTTTTCTAAGAGTGTACTACCTAGAACCTAAAAGAGTTCTTCAGCTGTCCCCATAGGAAAACCATTTGAAGAACCCTTTTTGGTTCCAGGTAGAACCCTTTTTGGTTCCAAGTAGAACCTTTTTGGGTTCCATGTAGAACCCTTTCCACAGAGGGTTCTACATAGAACCCAGAAGGGTTCTACATGGAAACAAAAAGGTTTCTACTATGGGGACAGCCGAAGAACCCTTTTGAGCCATGTATGACCCTTGAGGTTGACTCTGGTCAACTATGGCAGAGCGCTCTACATACCATTTATATACAGTACCTACTGCGTTTTAGTCTATATTCTAAGTGACATGACCCTTTTCTTGCTTTACCATAGGTGTACATTCTGTGGCATCTGCTGTCAGAAGTATATTAACGCCAACATGGACGAGAGGTCGGTCAGCACGGTACGATACGTAATGAAGGTGTTCGCAAATGGCTCAGAGACCATCATCTTCGTCTTCCTCGGCATCTCGGCCATAGATCCGTCTATATGGGTGTGGAACACAGCCTTTATCCTCCTCACACTCCTCTTCATCTTTGTGTTCAGGTTCATAGGTGAGTTTGGTTCATAGTCTTTAGTATTATTTTGTGAGAGGGGGAATCAATGGAGATTCTATTTCGCTCAATTTCTATAGGATGAACAATATTGTAGTTTGGAAATGTAGGGACAATTACCAACATACAATCCCTGTGTGTGTAGCTCAATAGGATTCTCATTGAAGGCTTCACATTACCAGCACTGACACTATGTGTGTGTATGCAGAGATAGGCAAAAGATACATCTAAAAGTATCTTGTTTCAAATACAAAATACCCGACTGACCAATGTAGTAAAATATACTTTCGCAAGGTATTTTATCTACACTGAGTGTAATATGAATATAAATTAGTGTACAAAACATTAGGACCACCTTCCTAATATTGAGTTGCACCCCCTTTTCCATCAGAACAGCCTCAATTCGTTGGGGCACAGACTCTACAAGGTGTCGAAAGCGTTCCACAGGGATGCTTGCCCATGTTGACTCCAGTGCTTCCCACAGTCGTGTCAAGTTGGCTGGATGTCCTTTGGGTGGTGGACCATTCTTGATACACACGGGAAACTGTTGAGCGTGAAACACCCAGCAGCGTTGCAGTTCTTGACACACTCAAACCAATGCGCCTGGCTAGGGCTGTTGCAGTGACCATATTACTGCCACACCGGCAGTCATGAGTCATGACCTCAATCAAATTCGACGTGACCATTGAGTCACGGTAATTTCCTCTTATGCACTCTGGAAATGTGTTGGTAGTACCCAACTCGCTAACGATCATCAGGTCGCTAATGGCCTGGTACTCAGGGCTCTATTGTCCCTCTAACCAAATGCAATCGAAAATCACATGAAACACTTATCATCAAAACAGTATGTGCTTTTAAAACTCACATCACTGTGATGGATCAATTTGAAGAAAAAAGTTCAACAACCTGTTGAAACTGAGTGGAAAACATGGTCATTGTGGATGTTGTTTCAAAGCCTAACACAACTAAATGGACAGCGCTTTCTAAGGTGATGATTAATTAAAAACACCATATGCATATTAGAGCTTAAGCATACGCATAGACCTGTATATGAGCCAAAGCGGGAAAAGAAACCTGAATTAAAAATAATAATTGTGCAGTTATACAATACATAGCCTACTGCATATTGCACATGGCAGAATCATATTTTTTTTAAATACTGATTTAAGATATATTTGGTAAATAATTGGTCTAGCCTAAATTAAACACATTTAGCCTACAATTATAGTGAATTCGTATTAGATTTTGAATAGCCTAGTAAGTTTTTTTTTTTCAGAATTAATAGGCTGACACATTGCCTTTAGCTACCAAATACAGTGAGGGAAAAAAAGTATTTGATCCCCTGCTGATTTTGTACGTTTGCCCACTGACAAAGAAATGATCAGTCTATCATTTCAATGGTAGGTTTATTTGAACAGTGAGAGACAGAATAACAACAACAAAAATCCAGAAAAACATATGTTATAAATTGATTAGCATTTTAATGAGGGAAATAAGTATTTGACCCCTCTGCAAAACATGACTTAGTACTTGGTGGCAAAACCCTTGTTGGCAATCACAGAGGTCAGACGTTTCTTGTAGTTGGCCACCAGGTTTTAATGAGGGAAATAAGGATTTGACCCCCTCTCAATCAGAAAGATTTCTGGCTCCCAGCTGTCTTTTATACAGGTAACGAGCTGAGATTAGGAGCACACTCTTTAAGGGAGTGCTCCTAATCTCAGTTTGTTACCAGTATAAAAGACACCTGTCCACAGAAGCAATCAATCAATCAGATTCCAAACTCTCCACCATGGCCAAGACCAAAGAGCTCTCCAAGGATGTCAGGGACAAGATTGTAGACCTACACATGGCTGGAATGGGCTACAAGACCATCGCCAAGCAGCTTGGTGAGAAGGTGACAACAGTTGGTGCGATTATTCGCAAATGGAAGAAACACAAAAGCACTGTCAATCTCCCTCGGCCTGGGGCTCCATGCAAGATCTCACCTCGTGGATTTGCAATGATCATGAGAACGTTGAGGAATCAGCCCAGAACTACACGGGAGGATCTTGTCAATGATCTCAAGGCAGCTGGGACCATAGTCACCAAGAAAACAATTGGTAACACACTACGCCGTGAAGGACTGAAATCCTGCAGCGTCCGCAAGGTCCCCCTGCTCAAGAAAGCACATATACATGCCCGTCTGAAGTTTGCCAATGAACATCTGAATAATTCAGAGGAGAACTGGGTGAAAGTGTTGTGGTCAGATGAGACCAAAATGAAGCTCTTTGGCATCAACTCAACTCGCCGTGTTTGGAGGAGGAGGAATGCTGCCTTAGACCCCAAGAACATGGGTGGTCCTCTGTAGCTCAGCTGGTAGAGCACGGCGCTTGTAACGCCAAGGTAGTGGGTTCGATCCCCGGGACCACCCATACACAAAAATGTATGCACGCATGACTAAGTCGCTTTGGATAAAAGCGTCTGCTAAATGGCATATTATTATTATTATTATTAACACCATCCCCACCGTCAAACATGGAGGTGGAAACATTATGCTTTGGGGGTGTTTTTCTGCTAAGGGGACAGGACAACTTCACCGCATCAAAGGGACGATGGATGGGGCCATGTACCGTCAAATCTTGGGTGAGAACCTCCTTCCCTCAGCCAGGGCATTGAAAATGGGTCGTGGATGGGTATTCCAGCATGACAATGACCCAAAACACATGTCCAAGGCAACAAAGGAGTGGCTCAAGAAGAAGCACATTAAGGTCCTGGAGTAGCCTAGCCAGTCTCCAGACCTTAATCCCATAGAAAGTCTGTGGAGAGAGCTGAAGGTTCGAGTTGCAAATGCAAATCAATTTATAACATTTTTGACATGCATTTTTCTGAATGTTTTTGTTGTTATTCTGTCTCTCACTGTTCAAATAAACCTACCATTAAAATGATAGACTGATCATGTCTTTGTCAGTGGGCAAACATACAAAATCAGCAGGGGATCAAATACTTTTTTCCCTCACTGTATATCACCACCATGAGTTTCCATCTCCTCCCCTCTCTCCATCGTGCAGAGAGAGGGGCTGTCAACAGCTTAATTAAATATGTTTTTTTGTGAAAACATGTTACTATGGATGTTCCCGAACATACTTCACTTGGTTTCCCAAATTAAGCACTGGGTAGTTGCAGGAACAGGGTTGGAGAGCCCATGGCATACATTGTTAGGCGGAATATCACCTGTTACTTAGCGAAATAACCGGAGTAGCCTACCTGACTAGAGTGAAAAACGGCCTCTATTCGCTATTCCAGTGCATACAGATGACATGTCTTTTTTGTCTTGCCCCTGTTCTTGCCCATTTAATAATGGGCCATTCTAAATCTAAACTAATTTTACATATTAGTAAAGACAAGATTAAATTAAGAATAGTCTGATGGGTGAAAATATGATCACTTGATGAGAGAAGAGCTGTGCAGCCTGAGGCAAGGAACAGAGCGCAACCTTTTTTGGGGGGGACTTTCTCAAATCATCAATAGTCTATAGTCTCATCATGCAGCCCATATATCTTTTGATTTCAAAGGTTTGTATCAACTAAAGTTGCCAAATAACTCTAAATCTAGCATTTAGGACCTGTTTCAAATTATCACTTTTACACTCAACATAGCAACATATGAACGTACTCTCACTCCTGAATGGGAAAAATATCCTTTCTATTTTATTCAGCTAAGTTCAATTATATTGTTCTTACCATAAAATTATGTAATATAAAATAATGGCATGGAACTTATAAGCATATCTTGTCTGCTAAATGAACAAGCCTACAGCCTATGGCATGGTGCATAGCCAGATAACATACAGTAGGCCAACTCACATTCTGTTCTTCTGAAATACATTTTTTTTATATCATAATGTTTCTTTAGACCTGCCTAAAATAAATAATGGATTTATTTTGATGGTGTATATTCAATTGACTTTTTTAAAATGTAGATGTTCCAAAGGCACACGCGCATCAGCGGCTTGTATGTGTGGAGGCCTGGAAATGCTAAAATTTTGTTAATTAACAATTACCGTGAGACCGGCAGTCTTTTGCATGATAATAACCGGCTAACAAAATTTCATGACCACTGCAGCCCTAAGCCTGACACAAACTACCATACCCCAGTTCAAAGGCACTCAAAGGCACTTCAAAGGCACGTTCAAAGGCCAGTTCAAAGGCACTCAAAGGATTTAACAAGTGACATCAGCAAGGGATCATAGCTCCTAATGTTTTGTACACTCAGTGTAGATAAATACAGGCATTTTAGGTATTTTAGTATTTTCAAAATATAAAATACTTTTGAAAGTAAGCGCCTTAACTACAACAACATTATCAGTAATGGTAACAAAAATATTGCTATGACTGACTGTGATGTGTTTTTTTAACTACCTTATTTGATTAAGACCTAAGTTGCTCTGGATAAGAGCGTCTGCTAAATGACCTAAATGTAAAAATGAACAATTGCAAAGCACATTAGCTATTATTATTGGCTTTGTTTTGGGGGCGGCACTCATTAAAAGAATACCCAGTATGCTTTGTAAATGTTAATTTTAACATTTACATATACATTTTGGTCATTTAGCTGAAACTCACACCAGTGCCATCAGACTTCTGATACCAATGCAGGGTAAAGGGGGCCACAAAATTGTGAACTGCTATAAAAACTGGTATAGAAAAGTATTTTGTATTTATTTTTGAAAATACAAATTAAAGCTCTCAAGTATCTTGTTACAAAGTAATTCAAAATTAATTGAATACTTATTTAAATACAGTCGCTAGTGAAAGTCTACACACCGCACATGAAAATATACTATAGTATACTATGGTACAAATACTGTAGTATTACTATATTTATATACTATAGTATTCAATGTAGCATTTTTGCTGACTTTACTGTAATATAGTGTAGTAATTACTGTAGTGTTTTTGAGGACAATTGCAGTATTTACTATAGTGTTTTTGTTTGATTACCTTTGACATACACATGGGTG